ACGTTGTGGAGGAGCAAGTTCGGGGCGTTATTGCTACGAGTTTTATGTAAGTACTACACTGTTTCTTCCTGGATGTAAAGTACCATGAAAGTACTATGAAGTAAAAGATTAAAACGTCACATGACGTTATAAATGAACAAACCTTTCGATCTTCTTTAATCAAAGCTCCCGGTTTCTGAGCTTGCGAAATCAGATATGCAAACCCGGGTATTATCGCTTGTTTTATTCATGGCATCTAACAACAACATCCGTTATTTAACGCCCCCAAAATAAAGGCGAGAAAACAGGGCGTTCTATTGAATTTACCCAATTATAAATCATCGTACCAAAAATTATTAATCACGACTAGGCACTCTGTGTGTTTGCTTTCAAGCCAAAGAGAGAGAAAGGTAAGTGTTACTGTTAAGAAGAAAGAAGAATCTCGCACCAAAATCATTATACAATGGGTTAGTTCACAAAAACGACAAAGACATGAAAAATGAGAAATATTCACGGTCTTGGAGATGTGAACCTTCAAATAGAAAACATCACTTGGACGTGCGCTGGTCAAATCTAATTCAATAGGTTCTCATATTTTTAAAACATTTTTGTGTTTGAGTGAGCGTCTAGTATATGGCCAAGCGCACAAACCAAAAACAATTGAACGAATAGAAGCCTCCTAGGATTGGACGATATTACTTCTCTCAAACCTAGCTAACCTGATTTTCCCGTTTAGATGCTGCGTTGCTAGTACGTATTGGTATTAGTGGCTGCTCCTTGCAAAAGCTTCTGAACTAGGCTATTGCTTTGTAAGGTTATGTAGTGATTCTGTAGTGGCACTTCATTCGAGTGGCAACTAATGAAGACTTGATCAGTCGAAATCTTAGCTGTTAAGGGAAACTAGACGTTCTTTTTTACTCTGACAAATGAGCACTTAACATGCACAACACACAATTTAAGTAGCTGTTGTGTTTTATTTTCTGTTCACTCTGTTACAATCAAAGATCCTTCAGCTAATATTAACAACGTTCCGCATACAAACGTATGGAGAACGCTCCTTTAATATTTAAAATTAAATTCATTTAAAAGATTCATGAATTTGCCTTTAATTTCTACATGAATAATCTAAACGGTTACGTAGAACCAAAACGAATTCAAACTGCGGTTTGCTCGGCTATTATTTTGCCCAGCAGGCACCTTGTTTCAAACTAGGATTTTTGATAACCAATTAAAATGAATAAATCCAATATTCTAATGCAATCCTTTAAAACATTCGAGGCCTTACGAAGTTACATCGCGTACAGGTGTCGAACATCATTTCGCCACTAAATACTGATCTCTACGATGAGAAAAAATTTTCATCCAGTTCTCTTATCACTGCTAGCTCACTTCCCGAAATGTTACTTTACCCCAGTAAGAGACAGCCGCGGCCGGATTCAGAATCAACTGCATTTTAAGAGCTTCACTGATCAATTATGCTTGGTAAGCAATTGTTACCATCTGCCTAGTAGATTCAAACAAACTAGTTATTGTAAAAATTTTAGGTTGTATAATCTTAGGTGCTAGTAGACTTTAAAAACAGGTATTGACTGCTTAACATATGTTCATCTTCGCCTTTGAACAGTGGAAAATGTCAATTTGCTGTTGTCCGCAACTTATATTTGTTTTTTATGCCGTGTTATACCCTTTTAAAAGTCGTCTGCCTCAAAGAATAATTTAAAGAGCTGTCGGTTGCACCAACGTTTTGCTCGCGATAATTTGTTTTTCCTTGCATTTGTGGTGCGAAGTGTTGACAACAATAATTCATTAATCATTGGGAATTATTCGTAAAAGGTTTTAAAGTAGTTGAACAACAATAGCTGAAGTATGGTTCATTATTGATGAATGTAGTAAAAAGGAATGGCTTCTATCCTTGAAGTTAAAAAACAAAAAATTAAGTGGCACCAACGTTTACCCTAAGGTACGTGTTTTATAAACATATGTTCTTCATGAAAATGAAAGTTTTATCCGCCCTCTCTTAAATACAGGAAGTATATTCTGAACTTTTGAAGACATCTGCTGCAGTTATAGGATAGAGAGCTGCCGCTCTCACTAACCTAATTTAAAAAAAAAGAAAACAAAAAACAGATGGCTCTTACTACCAGAAGTTCTTGCCTCTCTCAGGTTATGTTATTAGCTGTGACCATTCCCTGTTCATAGTTATTTTCCGTTCCAGTTTTTTTAATCTGATAAAAATAAACAAAAACAACAACCAAGGTATTATTGTATATCCATCCGTATTTCCTAGAATCTCTTCTCTATGCTAACCTATCCACGGCTCTAATTCTTTCACTTTTTCTCGTTTATTGAGGATTTTTGAGCGGTTATAAATGATTTTTAAAACTCAACAATAGCACAATATCGTCCAAACATGAGTAAAATTAATGAGAATATTTTATTGACCTGCTGTGCAGACATAAGTGAGAACTCCGCTCATTGTTTAGCTTAGTGCTTGCTTGCTTAACAATGGATGGCTAGCGAACTTTGAAAGTTTTAATTATCGCTGTACTCGGTGCCATAATTCAAGGCTGCCATAGAATTTGGTGTGTTTCCCAAGGTATTTAGGCCACTAACCATCTTTCAGAGGACTCAAATGCTAATGGAAGGGAGAAATCAATTATTCAGCAACGAAAAGTGCGTCGGCGAAAAACATATGTTATCAAAAGCTGAGTGTTTTATACCTCTTAAATGTGGTAGCTATTTAGGATGAAAAAAGCACGGCATGGTAAAGAAGCAACAGAAGAGTAAATGGAAAGATAAAACCGGTTAAAAACTGAAAAAAAAAACAAACAAACAAAAAAAAACTGGGTTAAAACAGTAAATAAATAAATAATGCCCTGAACATTTTAAGTCACTGTATTTTAAATTTATATAGTGTCCCAGGACCGAGCAATTTTTTTCCTAATTCCTCAGGTTTATGCTACATTCTAGTGAAACGTTAATGGGTTTTTCAAAAGTATAAACAACTCGCAGGCTATAACTTTGTTTGTAATTTTCAGCCTTTGAAGTGGATTGTTCTCTTTCGTTACTCTTTCAAGTATTCTCATATGGAAAGCGGTTCTTTCGTGTGAAGATGCTTCTATTTTGTTCAATTAGACACTAAAAGTACCTAAAATCAAAATTGCGAACTAATGTTGTTGAGGCAGTAAAAAGATGTTGCAGGAGTTGCGCTTTCTACACCCTTAACTGATGCCTGTAGGGATCATGTATTGCCTCGCATAAATTAAGTATTGATCATCTGAGCTCCGCACTCAGTGCATGTGAATTTAATGACTCAACATTTTGGCCAGGCGTTAGTCGTGAAATATTTGATGGAAAAGAGCTGAAAAGGCATTCTATAAACACAAAATATTTATTTATTAAATTTAATATATTGTATGCTGGACAATTTGACAAATCGAAGCTAATAAGAGACGTGTGTTTTTTCAGTGACAGCCCGTCAAAAACAAACCTTATAACGCCAAACATCAATCCACGAATGTAAACATTCTTGAAATCATTGTACCGTTTGATTATCTCTTTTAAGCTAGTAGTTCTAAGAGGGAAAAATGTTGATTTTCCAATGAACAACAGCTGACCGAAAACCGAAAAAAATCGTTTGCACTAATTAAAAACCTGCCTACCGGCAACGACTGCATGCCCCCATAGAGCTTTCCTGAATTAACAACAAAACAAAACACAGTAGTTAGGTGGGTTGTGTTGCCAACAAAACTGAAAATCTAAATCACTAGGTTAGTTATAACATCGTCGGATAATGGCCAAAAAACAAAGCCGGATGTTTTTGCTGAAGACAATTCAGGCTTCAACAGTCTGAACAGCAAGGGACAACTAGCCGAAAAGGTAGGCCAATTATGCCAAGGTTGTAGGAGTTTTCGTAATTTAACCTCTGACATCAAAACACAGTCTTATTAAAGGATTATCTGAAGTTAACTAAACTCCTCTGTTATGGACTCGTAACCAATTTAACAGGCTTCCACTAGCGGATTTCTTCAGAAGTTAAGAGGTCATCTGACACTATAAAAAGCAATTTAAGTAAACACCTTCAGGGGGACCCAATGGATCTGTTCCTCAAACTATCTGTTCTTCAGGCACATTTTTGCTGGCTGGGAGATGTGGAAGAAATAATAGTCCTTGGAAGGAAAGAGTTGCTGGGAAAAAGATAATTCAGGGTGTCAAAGGGGATTTGAAGTCTAGAATAGCTGCTATTCTTGCTGGGAGTGAGGAACAGATAATTTTTTTCCAGCAATCTCCCAAAATGCTTAAAATAGTCTCAGAAAACTTTATTCACGCTTTGTTGTTGTTTTTAGGTCTTTTTCTCAACATTTCCCGTTGGGTGCCCCTGCACCTTCAACCGAAAGTGAATTTCCCCATAATTTAGCGATCATGATACTGCAAATAATAAGTGAAAGTAAAATGTGAACTGGAAGAAAATGTAGTAAAACATTTAGTAAAACTGTTGGTAAAACAGGTTACTTCGGAGAAAGGAGCAAACTAGAAACTTGATGAATTATGCCCTTTCAACCACAGCTTCGCATCTTATTATTAAATACTAATATCATAATGGTGATGACCATCATTTTAACTGTAGTATAAATAAACACATTTTTATTTCGTCTTAAATTTCTTAGTGGTGCACACGATAACCTGAAAAACAGGCGTGCTTTGCGCGTGCGCCCCAAAACCCGCCTGAGTGTCCCCCAATTAACACACAGGTTGACAGGCTATGGACACGAATGGCTCTTGAGGCAATCATCGCCCCAACTGAGTAACATTGACCGTTCGACTGTGAAAATCCCTCAGGCAGGAGGCTCAAACCCTCGGGGCAACAAACTTTAAAACAAATTAAAAGAACACAGAAAATTTAAAAGGGCAATTTTATGATAATTTCAGAAAAAATCAATTATGCTAATTTAGAAGAGAACTTAAAAACTGTCATAATAGGGTACCTGTTTCACTTTTAACTTGATATTCTTACTAGCAACAATGAACGTTGCAAGAAGCCTTTATTCTTTACACCAAGTTCCGAGGAATGCTGCAGTGAAATAGTGGTGAGAATAGACAGTGTCAAAAAACTTCGAACATTACCAAAAGCGAACATCTCAGCATAGAACCACCAATAGTTGGCTTTAAGGACTTTAAAACTTTTGTACACTTTAAAAAGAGTAATCAAGTGTTTAATACGAGTGCAGTCCAAAGTATTCTGGTTTTCAGTTAACTTTAAAATACCTCACACAAGGTGAATGCAACTTGGTATTTTGCGAGTATTACTGACGCTCTATTGAAGACAGTTATTATACCTCGCTTAAACCTCAAGATCACGTTCAATCTCATTGCATTGCGTCATACATTTCCTTTTCTAAAACTTCTTGAAAAATATTTTTGCTCTTGCAGCTATTTTAATCTCACTTAAGAACAAAGAAGTTGAGAAGAAACTTGTCGCACAAAGATTACGAACAACTGCACGGGTTGAAGACCTCAATTAGATAACAGCCATGAACATTACACTAGTGGGCCATGAGTAACTCAACCAACACAACTCTCGGACAGTCACAACAGCGCAACAAGCAACATATTTTCGCAGAAGTTATTCCCATAGCAAGTTTGATCGTCCTCACGAATGGAGTCGTTTTTCTTCTCTTCTACAAAACGAAAAGCTTACGTACTCCAGCAAACTACCTGCTACTTAGCTTAGCCATAAGCGACTTAATGACAGGGTTGATAAATATCCCTCTGTTTATTGCTCAAACTTTAAACTCAGGTGATTATCGAATTATGTGTGCTTCAATCCTCTTGCACAACGTGGCCTCATTTTCAATAGCCTATCATATAACCGTCATTACAGCAGAAAAATATCTTGCAGTGGTTAATCCGTTTGGTCGTAACATGATGAGTAAAAAGACAGTCTCCAAGACTGTGAGTATGGTTTGGCTTTGGTCGGCATTACTTGGAACACTTCCTTCCTTTTGGTTCGAAAAATGGTTGCTATCTCCTGAATCTTCCACCTTATACTTGTACGTCGGATACAACATTTTCTGCCTCGTCTTCGTGTTTTTGGTGCCGTTTATGTTTATGCTTTATGCGTACTGCGTCATGTTCAGAGCTGTTTCGAAATCCTTACAGAGAAGAGATTCTCGAACCTCGAAGAAGTCTACCAACGAGAAAAAGTGCCTGATAATTCTGTTGACAATGGCAGTTACCTTTGCCATCTGTTGGCTACCATTGTTTACAATGTTCTTAATATATTCTTTCAGTAACGTTGGATGGATTAATACCGCGTCTCACCCCTCCATGAAACACGTTGCGCAAACATTTACTATCGTCCGATATCTTAGCTCTGCTATCGACCCTTTGTTGTACACCTTCTTTAAGCAAGATTTTTGGAATGCTTTTCGTGTTCTCTTCTTGAATGAGCGCCAAGCGAGAACGCCATCTGTTACTCTGTCTATGAGGAAACTGGTTACACAAAGGTCTCCGGCCGGCAGTGATCAGAATGACCCGACTGTAGATGAAAGCCTTATAGAAAACCTCGCGACTGAAGAGATGGTTGAGCTGCACCAAGGCACAAACAAAACGAAATAACTTTTAAACCACATAGTCTGTATTGACATTCTGCGGAAAAACAGGATGGTCTGTTCTTTCTGTGTAAAACATTACGAAAACTTGGCAAGATGTGTAAAGCTGGCTGCCGACTACGTGAAAGCGACTAAAGTCACATATGTAGCCACCAATGCAATAAAAAAAAAAAAAGGTTTGCAAACAAAAACGATTTTGTAAGCTGTTCATTATAGATTCATAGTTGACCACCTCACATAGTTGAGAGCTCGACTTAAACTTTGCTTCCTAGGTCCTGTACGATAGTACTGCATTGAGTATATGTGTATATAACCCCCGCTTTTTACTGTTCATAGTCTTGACAGAAAAAAAGGGGGGGCTTTTATTGTTTACTTTGAGCTCTTTCTGATCTAGAATGATGTTTATTAACGACAAAAACCTACTTCTAGCTGTACCAGTTTTAATATACTCATTATTAAGATTTTCAAATGAGAGCTTGCAATAAAATGTTAGCTATATTGAATATGTTAGTAATTTTGGTAAAAGCTGCTTGAAATTGCTTGACATTTAGCTTTGTTTCTTATGTAAATCGTTATCTTGCGCATTTTGATCAGCACTTTTGGCCATTTACTGAATATGAATTTATTTCATGTAGTTAAAAGGGAGAAATACGAGAGAGTAAGAAAGTATATACTGTCGAGAACGCAAGTCTAGAAGCCTAGTACGTCGGTTGCGATAAATACGCCCATTTACCCCGAACTACTCCATTCCACTTCCACGCATACAACGCAAGCTGTCAATAATAGGGCTGAAAAGTCGTTCGGTTTGTGGTATGAAGTATAACTGAGATAGGAGAAGGACACGCCCCAATTAAATACTAAGGAGGTGAAAAATAACGAAATTGCCAAACTGACGAATCTATCAGTTTATTACCCTGATAATGTTTGAAGGATCGGGAGGAAAACGATTAAGAATATTCATCTATAACTTAAGTAAGAAATATATTATAGGTAATGCTAGTTTTCTTAACTATGTGTATGAATGTAAGAGAATATTAAAGCTCTAAATAATATAAAACCTTTTGTCAGTCTTTCACTATAGCGCCTTCAGTTCAAGTCTATGTTCTGTGTTCTATGAAAACTTTTGGCTTCCCTGTAAAACTAGGAAAAGAATGTCAGAGAAGCAACGTCAGCATTGTTAAAAAGCCATCGGTCTGAGTAGTTTATCTAGATATCTTATGTTAACTACCTGAAAGACTTACACAAATGCATTTAGAGTTATACTGATTAATGCCTGCTGACGAGAGGAAATAAGTTAAGGTAAGGTCTAAAGGATATTTAGCTGGGCAGATTTAACCGGGAGGGGGAGGTGGACGAAAAATCCGTAAAGGGGGGAGGGGAGGAAGGGGAAAGTTCCCGAGTCCACCCTCTCCCTTTTCATTTGTCATTTCTGGTGGGTCGTGTTATAGTTTTGCTTCAGGTGCTTTTTTTTTCACTGGGCCTTGTGGGTAGAATTGATAATAACAAAGAGAGATATTCACATTTCCCTTCAGTTTCTTGTACTCCGTAACGGATAGAAGAGTGTGGTTAATTCCGCAGTAATGTTCCACAGATCTTCATAAGCCCCGCTGGACAAATTTTTGTCTCGTGGGCTCATTAGGAACGAGCCAATGAGAAGCGTCCGACATTTGACATTTTTTTTAGCTGTGACGTAAGAAAAGGACACCATTCCAAAGCACGAAGCATTGAAAGTATAGTGTTATCGAAAATTATTTGTTAAGCTTACAATTGGTATGAAAAAATGTCCTCTTCCTCCAAAAACCAAACATTTTTCAACCATTTTCTCTGTTTAACAATAAAGCATTACCGCGAATCTTCGCATTTTTTTGCACGATGTCCTTTCCTTACGTCACGCTCCACATTTGGACACATTTGGCCGAGTGGGGGACTAATGCGAACGAAAGGTGAAAATATCGACAAGACTGCCTTCACTTTTAGCGCTCGTGAAAAAAAAGGATTCAATATTTCTGAAAATTTTTTTTCGAAAATGAGTTCTTGAAAGATATGGAAATCTACCAAAAGAAAACAAATTGAAGGGTTAGGGGCATTTTAAGGGTCAGTATCTCATGTAAGACTCCATAATATGTCCCCAATATGTGTAGAAGGTTTCCTATGTTTCTATGCATTCCCCTGTTTTCCGTACGTTATCCCTTGTTTCCCGTGTTTTTCTACGTTTTCCTCTGTTTCCCCGTGTTTTTCTATGTTTTTTCCTGACTCTCCATGTTTTCCCTTGTTATTCTACGTTTTCCCCTGTTTTTGTATGTCTTTCCTTGATTCTCCCGGTTTTTCCGTGTTTTTCTATGTTTTCGCCTAATTAATTCTCCCGGTTTTCCCGTGTTTTTCTATGTTTTCCTATGATTCTTCCAGTTTTTCGGTGTTTTTCTACGCTTTCCCCATCTCCCCGTGTTTTCCTATGTTTCTCCCTGTTTTCCTAGGCCCTGATTCTCCCTGTCTTTCGTTGTTTTTCTACGTTTTCCCCTGTTTCCCCGTGTTTTCCTATGTTTTTCCCTGTTTCCCAATGTTTTTCTATATTTTCCCCCGACTCTCCCTGTTTTTCCTTGTTATTCTATGTTTTTCCCTGATTCTCCATGTTTTCCCATGTTTTTCTATTTCCCCCCTTATTCTCCCTGTTTTCCCGTGCTTTTCGATGTTTTCCCCTGATTCTCCATGTTTTTCCAGTGTTTTTCTATGTTTTCCCCTGATTCTCCATGTTTTCTTATGTTTTTCTATGTTTTTCCTTGATTCTCCATGTTTTCCCATGTTTTTCTATTTCCCCCCTTATTCTCCCTGTTTTCCCGTGCTTTTCGATGTTTTCCCCTGATTCTCCATGTTTTTCCAGTGTTTTTCTATGTTTTCCCCTGATTCTCCATGTTTTCTTATGTTTTTCTATGTTTTTCCTTGATTCTCCATGTTTTCCGTGTTTTTCTATGTTTTCCCCTGATTCTCCCCGTTTTTTCGTGTTTTTCTATGTTTTCCCCTGATTCTCCATGTTTTTCCGTGTTTTTCTATGTTTTCCCCTGATTCTCCATGTTTTCTTATGTTTTTCTATGTTTTTTCCCTGATTCTCCATGTTTTTCCGTGTTTTTCCATGTTTTTCCCTGATTCTCCATGTTTTTCCGTGTTTTTCTATGTTTTTCCCTGATTCTCCATGTTTTTCCGTGTTTTTCTATGTTTGTCCCTGATTCTCCATGTTTTTCCGTGTTTTTCTATGTTTTCCCCTGATTCTCCCCGTTTTTCCGTGTTTTTCTATGTTTTCCCCTGATTCTCCCCGTTTTTCCGTGTTTTGCTATGTTTTCCTCAGATTCTTTACGTTTTCCCATGTTTCTCTATGTTTTTCCTTGATTTTTCCCTGTTTTTCCGCGTTTTCTCTGTTTTCCCCAGATTCTCCTCGTTTTCCCATGTTTCTCTATGTTTTCCTTGATTTTCCCTGTTTTTCCGTGTTTTTCTATATGTTTTTCCCTTGATTCTTCCAGTTTTTCCTTCTTTTTGTAATTAACGAAAACGTCGAATTTCGGTCAAGACATAACTGCGCTCCGCTGCAATTGGTGACTTCTTGTTTTCTTGTCGTCCGCCATGGCAGAGGAAAATTACCGAAAAGAAAGGTAACAGTGTGGTTTTAGCCGTCTTTTTTTAACATTAATGAGTCCCTAAGGGTCAGTGACACAGAAAGGGGAGGGCCGCAGAAAATATTCGCATGCCGAGGAGAGGGGCATGGACAACTGAGGGTAACCATGATTACTCCTCCCCCCCACCCCTGCAAGGCTTGTGAAGCTAAAGAAGGAAGAACACAGATTCTCCATTTATCTATTTATTTTGTTATTTAATTATATTGTATTAATCACTATAATTTGGCAAAATTTGGGTGGCAGGGAAGGGCAGAGCCTATGCCCCCTAGGGTAGCGGTGTCCCTAGGAGGACCCCCTAGAGTAGCGGTGTCTCTAGAGGCAACCCTACATTAGAGTGTAACATAGGGTGAACCAGAAGAGGGGTGCCCTTCTGGAAGGAGAATAGGTCAGATGGTGAGTTGTGCCATCTTGGAGTAAGCAATCCGGACCTATTGCCAAGGAGGGCTATCCCACATACTGTGGGGTAAAGTGCAGCCCAGGGTGCACTTCCCTGTCACCAATAAGTAAGCCTAAGAATTGTAAAATGTAGAAACACCTAGGATGTAGTTTTGATATCGAGCTATTTTTTATACATATATATATATATAAAAAAGTGGCAACGTAACGAGTAGTATAATGTAACGAACTATGAGATAAAATAACCAAACTTAAAGAGAATACAATGAAATAGTATATCGTAAACATTTGCAGGACAAAGCACAGCCATAACAATTAGAGAAGACAAAGCTTCCAGTTGGGTGGGAGGGTGGGAAAAATACAATCTTAAAGAGTGCGAGTAGGCACTTGCTTGAAGAACAAAGCTGAAATGTGGCTGACTAATGGTATGAGGGGTTTACATAAGGCGAGACAGGTGAGAATCATGTGATATTGTGGAAAATTACTGGAAGCTTTGGCAACCACTTTAACATTGTAAAAGTAAAAGTACTTTGAGCTAAACAATGAGCTATTGACTACTGCACAAGCCTTGACTGCAAGGGTGAGGAGAGTAGAGTACACTAGGGACAAGTGAGGAAAGAACTAGTACTCCCTTAGGGCTCATTAACCCCAGTTAAGAGCTTAAACTTATAATTAATGAGTCCCTAAGGGTCAGTGACACAGAAAGGGGAGGGCCGCAGAAAATATTCGCATGCCGAGGAGAGGGGCATGGACAACTGAGGGTAACCATGATTACTCCTCCCCCCCACCCCTGCAAGGCTTGTGAAGCTAAAGAAGGAAGAACACAGATTCTCCATTTATCTATTTATTTTGTTATTTAATTATATTGTATTAATCACTATAATTTGGCAAAATTTGGGTGGCAGGGAAGGGCAGAGCCTATGCCCCCTAGGGTAGCGGTGTCCCTAGGAGGACCCCCTAGAGTAGCGGTGTCTCTAGAGGCAACCCTACATTAGAGTGTAACATAGGGTGGACCAGAAGAGGGGTGCCCTTCTGGAAGGAGAATAGGTCAGATGGTGAGTTGT